TCTGAGGTGTCAAAGCATTATTAATATATATATATATATATATATATATATATATATATATATATGTGTGTGTGTGTGTGTGCGTGTGCGTGTGTAGCTGGCCACTCATATCATATATATATATATATATATATATATATATATATATATATATATATATATATATATATATATATATATATATATATATAAACACTATTAGGTAAATGAATAGCATGATAGAAAAACTTCCGACAGTTATTCAGACTAATAATGGTTTTATTGATCCCTCTTTTGTCCCTCATGACACAATTCACTCCGCCAGAAATTTGTAAACTACATGCTGTACTACCTGGCATTCGCGCCTGAAGCTCCAATACGAACATTTCAGAATCTTTGGGTGTCAATAGTGCAAAGGATTCGGAAAGAGTTAGATGAGTCTAATGGTGATTACGAAGGTACGGAAGCTCGGAAAATTCATTCTGATAAGAAAAGAACTCCGGATTTTGATGGTGAAGGCATCATACTCACCAAGAAGTACCTTGAGGAGTTAGAGCTGCCCTAAGAGAGTGGTTGCTGGAAGACCCTATGTCTCTGCACCATGCCACACAAACAGAAGAACACAATCTTGGCTGTCAGACAATTTCTGCCACCACATCACCACTTACATCTGGCCACCTAACATGCCAGGTTGCACCCCCCTTGATTATTATATATGGGGCTCAGTTGAACGACAGACCAACAAAACTCCTTGTCACGTCAAAGTTGAACTGAAGGTAAGAATTATGGCAGCATTCAATAACTTAAACGAAGAGACCGCCCAGAAGAGATGCAGAAGTTTCTGAAGATGTCTGGAGGCCGTGGTTGAAGCCAATGAAGATTTTATTGAATAAATTTACTCTTTAGTATTTCCAGATATTTTAGTGCAATGTTGGTAAATATATCTGTTATAATAATCTCTTAAAATGAGATATCAGTGTTATTTTCATTTTTGCGTAATTTTGACGACAGTTTATCCATCGCACTGTATACATGATAAGAATACAGTTTTAAAATATACTATATTTATGGATAAAAGTACTCACTATCAGAGATAGAACGTATGTATATATAAAATGGACTGAGGTCAATACCAAGAGGCGAGAGTCTGTTTCATGAAATCTTCAGGCCTGAAGATTGCATTCAAGCATGAAATAGAATGTCACCGCTTTTTTGTTGTAAGTTTCAACAGTCTAGGTTTTGAACAAAGAACATTCATCAGTTACTGACCGTTTGAAAATTCTGTTGAATTACTGTAACGGTTCATGGGGGGGTGTTTCAAACAAATCCATCGACTCGACTTGCCATCACTCAAATTAGAGATACGTTTGTTGGATTTTTCAGAATGTTCCCAAGAAAAATAACGGAAGACGGCGGACATCGACGAGCACCACAAAGAAAGAAAAGGAACTAGAGAGCCTATTGCCAGAATTGAAGAAAATCCGTGCGTCAAGTGATTCGTAAGATTGTCAATCAATCATTTGGAAGCGCTGTCATTGGAAAAGTGACATTCCAAAAATAGTCCATGTTCTCAATGAAGATGATCCATACCGAAGAGTGGGGTTTATCGAGTGGTACTTGGCCAGATGTGTAGAAGATACACACTTGCATGCTTGGAGTGATAAGCCTGCGTTTATAAGTCCACAGTTGCATCTCCTGGGCACCCGTGAATCTGCATATTCTGTAGTACCATCATGTTAATTTATGAGGAATTACGGTGTGTTGCGGCTTCTCATCAAAAGAAATAATTGGGCCATGTTGTTTTTTTACGGTATTTTGACTAGTCCCGTTTATTTGAACTCACAGTGACAAGCCAGTCATGTTACGCATCCAAAGAAGACTTTGAGGATGAGGAATTATATTTCCAATTAGATGAAGCACTCGACGTTACCATCATGATGAAAGTGGCGAGATCTTGCCAGATAGTTGATGGACTTATGGCCCTATCACATTGAAAAATCGGTTCTTGTAAAATTACCGAAGTTAAGCAACATCAGTACATAGATGGGTGACCGTTTGGAAATAACTGGTGCTGTGAGCTTAGGGCTACATCTGATGCAACGGCTTGGAATTGGAAATCGGAGAGCCGAGTTCCATTTCCAGTCTGATTAGTTATATACACTTTTTCAACTTTGTCATATATTTGTCATATATATATATATATATATATATATATATATATATATATATAAATGGACAAACAAAGTCCGACAATTTATTTATTAAAGACATTTTTATGTTTAACGTTCTTTTTATAGATACAAGTATTTAAGTAAATGCTCGATTTATAATAAACAGTATTAAATAACATTTACCGGCCTGAATGTCCGAGAAATTTTCATAGAAAAAGAACGTTAAACATAAAAATGTCTTTAATAAATAAATTGTCGGACTTTGTCCATTTCTTAATATATGACGTCATTTGTTTACATTTGATACGCCAGGAGCAGTTATGAATGTACGAGATTCATAGAAGATTGAAGTTTATAAGCAGTAAATTCGACCTTGTCTACCGAACGCTTCTTTGTGGCCGATCGGTAAGGCACGTCAGCGTAAATGACGGTTCCGTATAGGTTGCAGGTACGAATCCTGTCAAAGAACGAATATTTTCTATGAAAATTTCTCGGACATTCAGGCCGGTAAATGTTATTTAATACTGTTTATTAAAAACAGAGCATTTACTTAAATACTTGTATCTATAAAAAGAACGTTAAACATAAAAATGTCTTTAATATATATATATAATAATATTATAATTATAAGTAATTATACTCGTCTGGAAACCCTGATGATCTGCGTAGGTGAAACCTAGGTAGGTTTGCCTTTGGCTCTTTAGGTTCATAGTTATATATATATATATATATATATATATATATATATATATATATATATATATATATATATATATATCGTCGGTGTGTGTGTATTACATTTTTTTAATCAAGTTCATCCTAAACAAGGTCGTAAAGCCACTAAGACACAAGGCGGGGTGTAGAAGTATCAGAACACAGAATCGCTACTAAGGAGCAAGAGCAAAAGAGGAGTAATGAAGAGGACAGTTGATGGCTATTCACATTGTATTTAAATTTTTGAAGATTAAAATTGACTGGAAAGCATTGAGCTTGAAGGGAGTTCCACAAGCGAGAAGTTTGAGAAAAGAAACTTTTATTTAGCATAGTACTTACGATTACATCTAACCAACGTAACTGTATATTGATGAGACCTCGTCGCCAGTCTCTTACTGCGCTTAAATTCATAAATTTTGTGTACCACAACGAAGAGCTCATCCGAACAACCATGTTGAAATTATTTACAGAAAAGGCTCAGGGAAGAAACTTTACGGAGGTGGGAAATTGACTGAAGTCGAGCAGCCAGATTAGGACTAATAATATTGCTTTCTTCTTTGGATATCATCAAGGAGCTCTAGATATATAGCAGGAACACCAGCCTATATCTGACAGCAATATTATAAGCATGGACGAATGGTAGGCGTATAGATATTTAAAATAGATTCTGGAGCGAAAATTTGTCTAACACGAAACAGTGAACAAAATTTTTTAGGTGTCCTAGAAATGGATTCAATATAGTCTTTCCACTTCATGTCAGCCGAAAACGTTAACCAGAGTAGGTGCAAAGATTCACTCTCCTGGAGGTTATCATTAGCCATTTTGCGGGAAGGAAGAAAGGGGTCTCTCAGATGATTAATAGATTAGATTTGGAGGCGAAAAAATAAACAAGCCACCCGCTTCCCCAGTTAACAACAGACTGGGGCTTATTTTTAACAGCTGTCAGTTTGGCCTTATCGAAACTATTGAAACAGGTAGTGCAATCAGAATAAATCCAAATTTAGAGTTGATACCATCGGGAAAGTCGTTAATGAAAATTAAAAACAAATTGGATCAAAGATAGACTCATGGGGGATACCTGCATTAGTACAAAAGGATCCAGAAGAATTGTCGTTCCGCATCACTTTCATTTCACGATTTGATGAGAAAGACTGGATCAGTTCCAAAATTTTCCCGAAGACACCGTAACTTTTCAACATGTGAAGAAGACCTGTATGCCAAACGCTGTCGAAAGCTTTCGAGATGATCAAAACAGCAGACCAAGCTTCAGTATTCCTCTGGAAAGAGTTTATCTTTTCTATCACACCAGTTTATTTATATGAGACGTGCACTTGCGTGTGTGTATGATGCAAAAGTTGATTAGGAGTAGATATACAGGTATTTTTTAAAGCAATTCACCCCAAGCAAAGCAGGAATGTTAGGGTATAAGGTGAGGGGGCGTGAGGAAAGGATAGAAAGAAAAACGGGGATCAAGGCAACAGAAGATGTCGATTGACATTACATTTAAATTTTTGAAGATTATAGTTATCAGAGAAACAAGTAAGAGGAAGGGAGTTCCACTGCTGGGAAGTGTGCGAGAAGAAGCTTTTGGGGTAGAAGAGGAGGTTAGATTTAACAGTTTCAACTGTAAAAGGGCGAGACCGAGATGCCAACCTAGTAGCACGCTTAAATTCATGCAGTCGGGGCACCAATGGAAATAACTCGTCAGAAAATATTTATAGAAAAGACAGGGGAAAACCACATTACGTGTCTATTAAAAAGTGACTGGAGTCGAGGCCCCAAGTCAGAACCGATCACATTGCATATTTGTCTTTGGATTTTATCGAGAACCTCGAGATGAACAGACCATATATGGCAACAGTATTTCATGCATAGACGAATGGTAGATTTGTACATGTGAAGGATGGACTCAAACGAGAAAAAACTTACCAGAACAGATGAATAATACACACACACACACACATTGTTACTTCTACTCGGAGAATTACTTGTCGGTGTTTGATTCGACGTCAAATGTAAGCTCTACCCACAAGAAAGAATGGCAGACCGCAATATTTCTGACTTCCTTTACTTCTTTGGGTATTGTACCAGTTTATGCTGAGGTTAGTGATTAGTTATCGCATTTATTTAACTTCAATGATTAATCTACTTTTATCTATCTATCTATCTATCTATCTATCTATCTATCTATCTATCTCATTTTCGTTAATCTATCTATCTATCTATCTATCTATCTATCTATATGTATCTCAGTCTTTTCTTTTCTCTCTCTCTGTATATATATATATATATATATATATATATATAGAGAGAGAGAGAGAGAGAGAGAGATAGATAGATATGATAAAAAATATAGTTTTAAGATGTACTTTATTTATGAGTAAAATGGCTCAATATCGGAGATAGAGCTTTGTAAATATAAATATAAAAGTGAACACCGAACAGTGACAATCTACTGTCTGTGTTGTCCCTTGACCCGAGTATTTATATCTGTTAGTCAATAGTCGAACCAAAACACAACACAAGACTGTCACCGCGTTCGGTGTCCACAGATAGTATAGTTAGTTCGGTCCTCATTAAACGCTCCATTCTTTGGACCTTATGTCAGACGAAAGAAATTTTTGTCTTCTTTACTTTTTTGTTTCTTTCTCTCTCATGTCATTCTTTTCGACTCTTCTTTTCCTTTCCATTTGTCTTCTTCCATTCGTCATGCCTTTTATCTTTCTTATTTACTTCTGACTTTTCTTTCATTTTCCCTTTCATGTTTCATACCCTCTCCCCTACCTGTCCTTTCTTCCTTATTTTTCATTCTTTTTCCTTCCTTCTACTCTCTTCTTTTCCACTGTTCTTTTTAGTTTACCATTCTTCCTTCATTTTACATTCCTTTATTCTTTCGTCCTCCTTTTTTGTTCATTCTTTCCTTTCGTGTACTATCCTTCCTTCCTGTCTTCTATCCTCCCCTTTTTTCTTTTACTTTTCCTTCCTTCCTTCCTTCCTTCCTTCCTTCCTTCCTTCCTTCCTTCCTTCTCAAACGTGTATTTTCCTATGTGACATATTGATATATATACGGTTATGAACATAATAATATCATACACCTCACGCACATACACACCTACATATATATATATATATATATATATATATATATATATATACCAGTTGTAACAGAAAAATTGTCCAAATCTTGTAACAGAAAAATTGTTCAATTGTTAGATTAAGCTTTGAAACCGTTGTATCTTAGAAATGATTAAAGATATCTTACTGGAATTCTCCAAGGATTTTTATAACAATATTGGACTCTACTGTGAGCAATAAGAATGTATAATTATTTTCCAAGTTTAATAAAAGAATCGTGATGAAATCGATCATAAAGGAAAATGACATGTTCATCATTAATTAATCAAAGTTAAGGATCGGAAGCTCATGATTGATTGAAATAAAGCTCATATATATATATATATATATATATATATATATATATATATTATTTCAGAATCATTTTTCAATTTATTCAAGATAATCTTCATCCTCTCTAATCTTCGAACTTTCTGTCCTGGAGTAACAAGTTGCCTCACAGGTTTCAAGTGTTCTTTCACTGCTCTTTGGATTGTCACAACTGAAAAATCCATTTTCAAGCGCCAAACGTCTTATGGAGTTGGATGTTTTCTAATTGATCTCTTTAGCTCTAAGTTGAAATGATGATCCCTCTTCCTGTTGTGATCTCCTGATCTAGTTTTCTTCTCTACTGTTCCCTCTTTTTAAACTTATTCACCATTCACTTGATGATTCTTGAATGGTCTTTAAAGATGGAAGCCAGAATATGAATGTTGGTACCATTACTGAAGGCCTGAATTACCTTTTTCCTCTCACCATTGCTCAGTTGTGAAGACAGTGGGTCTGATACAAAACAATTTTTACCTGCTTTATTTTTAGCTGAATAACTGAAAGGGTCTTTCAGTGATTCTTACGACAAATAGTGTCAAGATGGCTAAACATCTTATCTGAAAACCTGGAAGCAACTCAATTAGTTTAGTGTTTTTTTAGATATTAAACATTTTGTGGGATGAATAATTATGGTGTTACAACATTTGGACAATTTTGCTGTTGCATCCCGTATATATATATATATATATATATATATATATATATAGATAGATAGATAGATAGATAGAGAGTTGTGATTAAAAAACAAAATAAAACATAGCAGACAGAATAATTAGTTGACTGAAAATAATGACATGTCTGGTAATGTTGGAAAAAATTGTTTTTGACCTTTTGTCATATATAAGTTTCCCGCCACATAAATATATTACAGCAGCAATAATATCAAGCTTCTTCGGAATCGCAAATAAATAAAGAGAAATAAAAAATTAGTCAAAAAAGAAACTAACAAAGAGTTCTTTGACAATTCTTGGTTTGTGTTGCTGTTAAAAATATCGGACAAGATTTCTATGGGCAAAATAGAGATAAGCTAAAAGAAAATAAAAACCCCTGCATGGAGATAAAAAAAAAACGAGTTACATGACAGGAATGGATTTTAACGATGAACAGACCATCTTCTTGACATCTTTACTAAGTAGTTTTTATCTCAAGTAATGGCTTGGTTTCATCGCTGTTAACTTTAACGACTCACCTTGACCATAGAGCAGTGTTAAGGAAGAAATGTCCAAATTGAAACTTCGCAGACACATTTAGTCATTTACAGAACCTTATCCATTAGGTGCACAAAACTTTTTCTTTTGTGATTGAGTAGGATTCTTACCTTTCTTCAAGTAAAAAGCTCTGAAAATGCCAAAAATGTTACTTATTTCTTTTCATTTTCAATATTCAAATCGATAAAAGAAATATTCCCTTTTTGATAAAAATGTAAAAAAGTTCGTGTATATGACAACTGTCAAGATACAAAGATAACGATATTTTTTAATAAAGTTTTTAAAAAAATACCAAACCAAGATTGCAATTTTGGCAAACCCAATATATAAATTTTTGCAGTAGTACTACTGTAGTATGCAGTCTACAGATTTGGTTACAACAAAAATAAGAATTAGAAAAAAAAAGAAAATACTAAAGGTGTTAGCAGTGATAACTGCTTGCAACATTCATCTATCGCTGGAGACGTGTTAAAACAACAACAACGATGGAGATAATAGCTGGAAGAATAAGGCCGGAGAAAATTACAGAGACAAAAGCAAGTGTGTGAGACATATACAGAATAGTCAGCATTGTAATTACAGCGAATTTCAAGCGAGATCAAGTGACAGCATTCCTCTCAATACTCCGCCACTAGTCCCAGTATTTTCATTAGCAGTATTATATGAATTTCTATCTCAATCATATCTGGAGATTAAATGAACAAAAGTCTTCAATATATCCAACCACTGTTCTTAGTATCTTAGAAGGTTATAAACATTCGAATTTTTACATGAGTAGTATCTGGTGGCCTGCATAGCAGATCAATTGACAATAGTCTACTCAATACTTTAGCACTCTTCATAGTATTCGAACTGATGTATTAAAAATGTTCTCTGAATAGATTCAACTCTTACTTAGATTTCTAATTAATAACATTATTATTATTTTCATTATTATTATTATTATTATTATTATTATTATTATTATTATTATTATTATTATTAATGTCGAGGATCGGGATGAGAATTTGTGGAACAAGCCACTGCAACAAGTTCCTGCCCCGGCCCTCGGGGACCGGCCATGTTCTCTAATTAGAATTAGTTGGTACGCTGTAGTACACGCCTGTCTACAAGTGTTATTTTATAGAGCTGACAAGATTACTTGCGGCGAGGAAAACCAGCGACACCCGTTACACACAGACACACACACACAGACACACACACACACGCGCGTGCGCGCGCACACACACACAGAAAGAGAGAGACTCACCCGCAAATATCTTCATGCATGTAAATATAATCACACATACATGCTTATGTATACACATATACACCCCCCCACATACAAATACATGAACATATACATTTACATGTATACACTCACATGCATATACGTATACACGCATAAAAACATCCATATGAAGGCACACATGTATGTGTAAACACACAAGCACGCATATTCAGGCGTATGCATACGAATAAAACATACATGCATATGAAATTTCAAAAATACAGATGTACACACTCATACACACATGCAACTGTTCATAAGCAGACGCATATATACATACTAATACTCTTATACATCAATGCGCATGAGCACAACGCATACACATATATGCACATGAGCAGATACACATACACATATGGAAATATTCACACAGACATACACACATGCACAGACGAGCGTGGATCAATAAGTCCGTAGGCTGACACGTTGTTATGAGCTGATTTTTTTTATTTGAAATTTATACAGTATCATGTTTGATCTGATGTGAACGATATTCCCCACTAAATTATGTGCATTGGCAAAGAAGGAGATTATGTTGAAAAATAAATATTTTCTGTGTAATTTATACGCTTTTTTCATAATTAGGTTACGGATGTACTTAGGTATGCACGCTCATCGACGTATGAGGCGTAAGCACATATTTACGCACACATGCACTTATCTGCACACATTGTACAAACACAGGAGTATATTTTATGGCACACAACAAAAACATAATGACGGAGTACAACGTTATACATACATTTATATGTGGCCTCACGAGGATGCATGGTGGAGTAATGGAGTCGAGTAATGGAGTCGAGTAATGGAGTCGAGTAATGGATAGCGGTTCGGATTGAGGAATCGGAGAGCCGAGTTCGAATTCCAGTCGAATCTGTTATATTCACTTACGTGCTAATACCCTTGGGAAAAGTATGAATCCTCTTCTTCAATAGCAGGACAGACCAGGTTCTGTAGCCTTGGATGGCAACTGGTCTACTACACAAAGAAGTGGCAAACTACTGCGGGAAAAAAATCTGCCTCGTCAGTCATGTATCGAAAGATACATGATCACCTAAGCGTGTATCACGCATAGCACATAACTGACTGATGTGGCCACACAGAAGGTTACAGACACTTATATATAAAATCGAATGCATTTGTAAACACACTTTCGTGCGCAAATATACAGACTCACACCAGTCTTAATATACTAGCGTTGTTGATTGTTAAATGGTTTAGTATTGAACTCTAATACGGAAAACCTTAAATGCTAAAATGACTTCTTTTAAGCACTTCGATAGGGTGTTAAAATTTCCACTCTTTTGGTTGCATCACCATCATTTACTCAGATAGCGCTGCTGTGGTCATCCCTTTTCTCCATTTCACAATTGGGGTTTATGATGATATTCAAGGCACAAGAGGACAATGTCTTGGCGGTTTCTTTTGCACCGGAAATTTTGAAGTTACCTCGTCCTGCCTCTCATAATTAAAGAGGCATGACTTCAGGTGGTTTGAATTCGGGGTTTTCCTTTTCCTAGATTGGTTGTTAAGTCTATAGGGTCCAGTCTGTCTTGTTATTTACCCATAGCTAAGTTTTTGGTTACACTCATCAGTATTGTCATTTGAATCTCACAGCATTCTGAATTTGTTGACGCTTATTTAAAAAAAAGGACCAACAAGAAGCTGGATTTCAATTTTTCCTGGTTCAACGTGAGAATCACAAAAATGAGACTGATTAATTTAAATAAATAAGGGTTAGAGAAAAAAGTAACAAAATAAAGCGAGTTGCAATAGCATCTTATGTCTGTGTAGATGTATTAAAACAAAGATGAAGACAATTGTCTGAAGAATAAAGCTGGATAATATATAGATTAAAAAACGACAGAGGTGAAGACAAGGGTTTGAAAAATATACAGAACAGCTGCCAGAATAATTATGGAAAATTTTATTAAAAAAAAAAAAATTCACTTTACGCAAGTAATTGGTTTGACGCCATTAAAACATAAACGTAAAAACTAGTTTGTGTCTATTCCAGTGATACACATTATGAAATCGTCGTGTAAACATTTTAGAATTAGTACAAATAGTTGAGTTAGCATCCATTGGTACGAGTTTTTGTGAAAAAAGATTAGATTAACTCAAG